GTGTGTGTGTGTGTGTGTGTGTGTGTGTGTGTGTGTGTCTGTGTGTGTGTGTGTGTGTGTGTGCATGTGTGTGTGTGTGTGCATGTGTGTGTGTGTGTGCATGTGTGTAGGTGTATGTGGACAGAGAGAGAGAGAAGAGGGAAGATGAGCCGGGTACACGACACGATACAATCTCTCGCTACCTTCGCCACCACCATCGTCACTAATTACCATCACCACCATCATCACCACCATCACTGTACCTGAAGGATGAGCAGGCGCTGTTCGTTCGAGAGATGAATGCGTTTCGGGGGCGTGGGCTGCACGTCGACACTCGCGCCACCGTTGCCACCATTTCCATCATCGGCTTCATCGTCGTCAGAGTAGTTGTCGCTGCTGTCGCTGTTGTTGCGTGTGTCCTCTTTGCTTCGCCCGCGCGGCACGGGCGGTTTGGCTTTTGCTGCACCCGATCTGCACGCACACACACACACACATCACCAAACACATACATGACGCTGAGTATCAAAGAACATGATGTGGATGAACACAAGCTACATCGCAGGCATGCAACCAAGTGTGCGTGTGTTGCATGCAGGCATAGGAGGCGTGCTTCCCTCCACCAACACGACTGACTTGAAGGTGGCTGCATCGAGCGGGCGGGCAGACATGATTGTGATCTCAGGACGCGAGCCGCCAGGGGACTGCGCAGTGGCAGTGATGGTCGTGGTGATGGTCGTGGCAGTGATGGTGGTTATCGTGGGTGAGCACGACAGTCTCAGCACAGCATCACCGCGTGGGCAGTGACATGACACAAAGCATCGCAAAGAACACACGCAACGCACACAGATGCACACGCACACACACACACACACACACACACACACACACACACACACACACACACAACGCACCTTGGCAGACGAAGGGCCAGCCCCCATCTTCTTAAAGTCGCCCGAAATTGGCTTTGCGCCCACAATGGTGATCTCAGGTCGGGTGCCACCGCCCTTGCCACGTCGCATTGATGATGATGATGACGAGGATGCTGGTGCTGGTGCTGGTGCTGGTGTTGGTGGTGATGATGATGATGATGATGGCTTGGGCGGCGCTGTCTTGTGTGACATCGAACGCAGAGAGGCAGCGGTGGTGCCGCTGCGAACAGTCTTCCCTGTCCCGGCTGCTGCTGCTGCTGGTGCTGCTGCTGATAATGATGATGATGATGATGATGATGACGATGCTGGTGCTGGTGGCGACTTGGTGGTGGTGGTCTGTTTGCCTTTTCCTTTCGACGACGCCAGCGCCGACGTGGCTGCACGTGCACGCGCCCCTATTGTGTATGTGTGTGTGCGTGTTTATGTGTGGATGTGTGTGTTTATGTGTGAACGCGTGTGCGTGTGTGTGTGTGCGTATGCGCGTGTGCGCGTGTGTGCGTGTGCGCGTGGGTGTGTGAACAAGGGAAGATGAGTGCTGTGCGAGCACGCCAATGCATTGGTGCCAAGTCAGGCAATGCAAGTGAACATAAGCACTGCCACACGTTTCAGGCCATCGTACCCGCTGGTGGTGGCGGCGGCCGTGTCGGGAGATTTGCCGGTGGCGCAGGGCGGGCAGGTGCAGCGCGCGGCCTTGAACGCAGCGAGCGGTGATGGTGATCATGGCAATATGGTGTGGGATGAGGTGAGAACGGTGTATTGTGAACAAGCAAACGGGCACGTCAGAGGATATAGGGCGACACGCAGCAAACGTGTGAAAGCAATTGGTTACACACACACACATGCACACACACATGCGCACACACACATACATGCACACATGCGCACACACACACACATGCCACACGCACACACAAAACACAACACACCACACACAGCAAATACATAAACACGCACACGCAGGCACCACCCATCTGTAACAATCACCGATGGCCACGCTGTACCCACTTTGCTGCCTTGTCGCCGCTTGATGTCTTGTGAGCTGCGCCCTCGGTGGCAGTCTTCTTGCTTGTCGTGCCGGCTGCTGTGCTGCTGTCGCCCACATCACCTGCGTCCTCCTTCTTCTTTGTTTCCTGCGGTGCCTTCGTGCTGCCGGCCCTCCCTTCGAGGGCGGTGGCAGCCGTTGCGTCCGCTGTTTCTTGTGGCGCTGCCTTCTCCCCCTCTTCGCCAGTGGCACCAGCATCGTCGCATTTGTCGGTGCCCTTACCCGTTCCCTTGCCCTTGCTGCTGCTGCCATCGTCACCCTCACCAACGGCACCACCATCACCACCGTTGATGTCATTGCCGCTGCTGGCGTCCTTGGAGATCGCTGCTGGCTTGAAGCGTTGTCGCCGCCGTGTTGGTTTGCTGATCGGATTCACGCCGCTGTTCGTGACAGTACCACTGCTCTCTTCCCCATTGCCCTCTTGGTCTTCCTCCTTGCCCCCGGCACCCTGCTGCTGCTGCGCTGCTGTTGCTGTTGCTTCTTCTGGACCTGTACCTTGATCGTGGTGTGCTTCACGGGAGTCTTGTGCTGCTGACTCCTCTTCCGCCCG